TCAGATGAAATCAGTTCATGTAGTTTGTTCCAGTTGCTCAGTTCATTCAGAGTGCAGTGTCCCAAAGAGTTTGTCCCAATGAGTGAAGTATGGAGCATAGTTGGACTTGAACTTCTGATGGTGGACATCATGGTGCGGAGCTCCTCCATACAGACCAAAAGGCACCAGTCTGTGTGTCGCCCATGGCAGGTCATAGCCACAGTGGTCCTCAACTGACAGCCACATGTTCAGCATATGGAAAAGCATCTCTGTCATAGGATGAACCCCCAGTAACATGGGATTCACTGCAGCGAAGAAACCCAACGACAGAGTCTCCCACGCCCCCGAATACTCAGTGGCCAGAGCGAAGGTGGACGTGTATTTGTGATGCACCTTATGGAAAGTGCAGTAGAGCCAGGGTACTTTGTGATGCAGAAGATGCCATACAAAGTACTGGAAGTCAAAGAGAAGCAGGCAGGCAGCAAGGTCCCAGATGACTCGCAGAAGCCCTGGTGCCATCACTGGGTAGCTGACAGGTCTCCAGTACCAGTGCAGGACACTCAGTGGGAAGATGTACACGGCATGGTTGTAGAGGGAGAGTACGAGGCAGCTCCACATCATCTTCCAAGATACGCTGGTCTTCTGTTGAATTTTGTATCTCCTTATCCATGCTACCCTAGATGATAGGGCATCCAGAACGACAAAAGGCAGGCAGAAGCTTAGGTAGACTGTAATAGAGAAGAAAACTGGGAAATATGGAGACCTAAGCACGGCCTCGTACTGCAGAATGCTGTCCCAGATGTACTGTAGTTCAAACATTTTAATTTATTTTCAGATCTCTTTCTGAATGGCAGCACATGGGTACCGTGGCTTTTATAAAGTATAGAAGTCCCGCCCTCTTTCCACTACTCGCGCTGCAAGTCCCCTAAATGGCTCTTCCTGTTGGAATTTCCCGGATATTTTGCGGTAGTGTGAGAAGGTAGGCTATCTGATGTCATGTTTATCAGATAGGCAACTATATAAATCTATAAATATAAAAATCCTGCAATACTTAAGAGACTGAAATGGTTTATTAGCCTACAAAAATATTATAATATAAACGATAATGGAAAGAGTGTATTGAATCACAGTGCAGAAAGAATAACTAAACAAACAACACAAAAGAGTAAGGTAAGATTCAGAGCCTGTAGACGAATTTACCTATAGGAAATGGCACTGAAGCCTACCAGTTATTCTTGTTAGATAGCAGGTCCAGCAGTTAATCTCGCCCAGTTCCACTTGCTATTGATATTCCAGATTCCGATTTTTTTTAAACCTGACAAAATATCTATTAATCCTACAAAATATGACAGTTAATATTCAATTTCCGTGCGTCACTCTTAACTTCTGTAAGAGTATCTCGAGGAACAGCAACGAGACTGACAGTGGAACAGTTTTCCCAGTTTTATCAAGTAAACACCGCCATCTGCTGTTTATAACAGGCAAGGGCTGCTGCGACACTCCAACGTGTTATCAGGATTTTTTGCCACACTCAATTTTTGATTGAGTTGTCACCAGGGCAGGACTTAGGCCCCTGAGCTTGAGGTTATGTTTGGGCCCTATACCTACACTACAAATGCCATCAAATAGAACATCATTATGGAGTAACACAAAGTACACAAACATATGCTTTGAGGTTCATAAATAGTACAATTAATATGCAACATGTCTAGGCTTCCAGCAAATAACTTCGAGCAAAAAAAAAAAAAAAAATCCAGAGATGTTGGCTTATTAGTATTATAAAAGTTATTGTCATATCTGTGTCCTCTTATGTCAGGTTCTTATTTAATCAATAAATTCAATCGAATGAAAAGACATGCTGGTTATTAACAATCAAATGAAATCACTATCAACAAAATTCATAGATGGATTGTGCATAAATGTTAAGTTTAAATATAACATTTTCATGTAGACATATTAAATGATTGCAAAAATGAAATAAAACCCAATGGTAAGTCCGGCCATGGTTGTCACACATCTAGGACAGTTTGTTTGCTTGACAAATGTGTGATGGAAGGATAAACAAACAAACTAACCAATAACATTTTTAACTAAAACTACACAACACTGCATTAAAAATGCATTTCATAGAAACACTACAAAATGCGAGAATAATTATGGCTTGAAACTTACAGGGATTGCCTTACAAGGATCATTTTTCATAGATGGATTGTGCATAAATGTTAAGTTTAAATATAACATTTTCATGTAGACATATTAAATGATTGCAAAAATTAAATAAAGCCCAATGGTAAGTCCGGTCATGGTTGTCACACATCTAGGACAGTTTGTTTGCTTGACAAATGTGTGATGGAAGGATAAACAAACAAACTAACCAATAACATTTTTAACTAAAACTACACAACACTGCATTAAAAATGCATTTCATAGAAACACTACAAAATGCGAGAATAATTATGGCTTGAAACTTACAGGGATTGCCTTACAAGGATCATTTTGTAGCGAAATAAATGAAAAATAAAAATGTTTGGAATCTTAGTGGTCATATCTTTTTTTCTTTCTAAATTCTGTTTATTTATTATTAATGAATGTAGGTTATTTATTTATTTTCTTTCAACCTATATTAAGCCCTTATACAATATAGGCTAAATTGTCGATAATATACTTTCATACATTGGTTTTATGACAAATAAAAATCAAAAGTAATTAAGATCAACAATTCCTTTCACACCGTATCACGAAAGCGAAACCTATCCCTCTGCTTTTTTAGTTTCGTTTTCGTGACATCGAATCTTTCAATACGCAGTCTGAACGGAAAGAACATCCTGAAATATTAAATGAGGTGAAGAGAACCTATTGAAACAGACACATTTATCAACCAAACCTGTCTAAAATACGCTTATACAATTCGCCGTGTAGCAGAAAGTCAACAGATTATTTTCATGTTCTTCAGTTGGTGTATATCTCTTAGCAGTCATATTTTTTCATCATAACATATCTATCCAATCTTGCTCTATATATATATATATAATAACCACATTATTTTGCAAAACAAATGAAGACAGCAAGATTGGATAGATATGTTATGATGAAGAAATATGACTGCTAAGAGATATACACCAATATACACCAGCCTGTTGACAGCTATGAAAGGAAACAAGCTGGCAAGAAGCTCAGACTAATTGCAGAGAGGAATTTCAACACCAAGCAGAAATTCAGAGAAGCATTCGAGATTTTGGCTTTTATATCTTCTGACGACAAGCAGGAGATGCAAGCAAAGGAGTATCTGCGGAGAGTCCATCAGCACAGCCCATACTGCTGAGCAGTCTAAAAGCTTTGCTAAGGGACTGAAATGTAACTAATTTCTTACTTGTAAATACATTTATCAAAAAACTTGCTTTTAATGTTCACTTATTCATTTACATTAATTCTTTTATCAGATGCTTTTATCCAAAGCAACAAATGAAGAACACAATTCATAATAAGAGCTAACAATGTTTGGAGTACACAATGTCATATATAAGCTAGAATAGTACAAAAAAACGAAAATAAAATGCAGAAAAGTAAACCTATATTGTCAGTGGCTGTCAGAGTTCTGCTGTTGTACTTTGGACTGAATTGCTTGCATGTGTTTATTTCCTGTTGTACAAACGTCTTATACTTTTATGAAGGCTATTATTGTTTATTTAATATTACTGTTAAATAAATAATAGTAGTATTTAATAATAGTATTTGAAATCGAGAAACGTTTGGGTGTTAGTGATGGTGATTTTGACATTAGTGCAGGTTACATTGTTAGACCATTAGATGGCGACAAGACAGTCTTTATTAGTGAGTCAGTAACAAACTAAATTTTACTGTAAACAACATCTTGTATGTGTGTGTGTGTGTGTGTGTGTGTGTGTGTGATTAATTACTGTGGAAAGCTATTGGTATATTGGTATAGCCACTGCTATATATAAACATTCAGATGTTTTTGTCTGTGGTAGTATTATTATTATTTAATAAACAATATTTAATATACATATAAATTTTTCTCTTTTTCCAGGTATGGATCCGGACAGAACTTTATATACTATATATATATATATATATATATATATATATATAATATCAATAAACACAAAAAAAATATTTTCACTTTACAGTTTTGTTTTGTCATTGTCTCTTAGCTGAAAGTGACAGTAAAAGACAAAAATAAATATGCAAAAGAAGCTTGACAACCAGACTCCAGATGACTGGCTATGGTTTAGACCAGCTTTTATTTAACTACATAATATTACACATCATTTGAGACAGCCTTAAGCTCTCAGTCTTTTGCTGTTTCTCTTTCCCTCTCTCTTCAGCCAAGGTTTCAGTTTCCATTCTGAGTCTGACACTCCCATCTCTAGGAGAGGTCAATAAAGCCTGCACCACCTTCCTCATCAAACAGGTTCTGAAACATTTATCATACAGACGTCCTAGATAAGGTAAGTGCATCCCTACAATTACAACGTTTTTTTTTTTCAGTTGGTCTACAGTAGTTTCAACAAAGCTATTTATATAGGTTACATGAATCTGATAGATATCATATTTAATATAAAAAATGTACTTCAAGAGGCAAGGAAATGCATTTCCAATTTTAAAATTACAATTAGAATACATTTACTTTTTAAAATATATTTTGGCCAGAATAAATACTGTACATTTAAATAAAACACATATTAATAAAAATGTCCAAAAATACATAAGAAAAATAAGTAACTAAAATTATTGAAAAAATATTTATGTAAATATATAAAAATATATGTATTGGAGAGTTTTTGCCTATCTCGATAGACTAAATAAATAAAATAAATAAATATATATGTGTGTGTGTGTGTGTGTGTGTGTGTGTGTGATTAATTACTGTGGAAAGCTATTGGTATATTGGTATAGCCACTGCTATATATAAACATTCAGATGTTTTTGTCTGTGGTAGTATTATTATTATTTAATAAACAATATTTAATATACATATAAATTTTTCTCTTTTTCCAGGTATGGATCCGGACAGAACTTTGAGAACAAAACTTCTCCAGTTGGAATGCCACTTCACCTGGGCTCTGATGAAAGATGATATAGATCTAAATGATGTTCTCAATAGACTGCAAGAACAGATTAAGTTGTACCACGTAAAGAAAGAAGGACTTGCCCGAACTTACAGTGCTTTGGCATATGTTCAGTTCCTTCTGGGGTTTCACGAGGAGGCACATAATAATCTCATGACATCCGTGAAGCTACTCATGGAATGCCACCGGGATGAATTTCATAAAACTCTCATTGTCACTTATGGAAACCTTGCCTGGTTAAACTACCACATGAAGAACTACACAGAATGTGAAAGTTACCTGAAGAAGCTTCAGAAGATGAATGAAACCTTTCCAACTGAGTGTTCATCTGTTCCAGAAGTGCTTGGTGAAAAGGGATGGACTTTTCTTAAATTCTCACGCAAATATTACAACATAGCCAAAGAATGTTTCAGGAAGGCTTTAGAACTGGAACCAGAGGAAGGCGAATGGAATGCTGGTTATGCCATTGCTCTGTATCGCACCGAATACAAGAGTTTCACTCTGGAGAATTCGCCTACAATAAAGCAACTGAGACGGGCCATTGACACGAATCCAGAGGATGACGTTCTCAAAGTCCTCTTAAGCATGCGACTGATTGTTTACAAAAGGTACAAAGAGGCTGACAGTTTGGTAGAGAAGGCTTTAGAAAGATCTCCAGATCACCCACATGTCATGCGATATGTTGCGATGTTCTTCAGGAATCAAGGAAGTGTGGACAGGTCAATTGCTCTTTTGAAGCGAGCGCTTGAAAGCTCACCCAATTCAAGTTTCATACATCATCAGTTAGCTCTTTGCTATAAGTTGAAGAAAATCCAACTGCGGCAGGAGGGAAGTCACCATGCCAAAGGGTCAAGAGTTCAACAGATTCGCGATCAATGCATCTATCATTTAGAAAAGGCCACCAGCCTGACAGCCTCCTTCATTTCTGCAATGAGCGATCTAGCGCTGCTGTATGGAGAGAACCAGGATATGTCACGGGCTGAGGAGCTGTTTCAGGTCACTTTCAAAGCAGCCGGAGAGAAAAACGACAATCTACATGTTGTCAATTTTTATTATGCTGAATTCCAGCTCTACTGCCACAGATGTGAGTCGTTAGCTATCAAACACTACATGGAATGTCTGAAGATGAGCCCGGATTCAGTCGAAGGGAAGAGAAGTGCCTACAGTTTAAAGAAGACTGCTGACAAAATAATTCAGAGAAACTCGCTGGAAGGGGAGGCTTATGGGATACTAGGGTTCCTTCATAAGGTAAAAGGGGAGAAACGTCAAGCCATTGAGTGCTATGAGAAAGCTCTGAGTTATGAAGACAATGATGAGTTCCTCAGTAACCTTAGTGCACTCAGGCTGTCCTTACAGTAAAGTCATCATATTATGTGCTTACACTATCAGTTGTTGTACATAATGTAATGCATTTGATTGTGCTTCATGTACTGACACTTTATGGCTATTTATTCTATAAATGTATAATGAAGATTAAGTCAGAAAATATACAATATATTGTACTGTACCTTTATGTTTATGTTCTAAGATTAAAGTAATAAAGCCTAACAGCTAGTTGGCTAAAAATATTTGACAGTATTTCTAAACTGTCATTATCCAAAGGCACTTTACACTGACATCGTGTCCTAACTACACGCGACGCGACAAGATTCCAGCGACAAGCAATTTGGGTGTCCACACCAAACGCGATGCGACAGAGTCAATCAAATATCAAAGCCAATCAGAAGCGTGTGTGGGCGGGCTCTTTCTGCAAGCGCTCTGCACTCGCAACTTTAAATGGATACGTTTATAATCTAATTCATAAATATTAAACCTTTTTAACATCATTAAATGTACATACTGAGTGACTGATACCATCTTTGTTATGGAATAGGCTACACTCGTTGGTTCGCAGTGAGTCCACAGTTTTAACGGTCATCTTTGCTTTAATTTATTTTCAAGATTAGAAATATAAATCATTAGATCTAAAACATTAGATCTATGTTTTGTTCTAAAACAAAACTATTGTTGCTTTCAGTATGGCTATAAGGTCACGCAATATGATATTTAAACTCATGTTAGACACGTTTAACTTTGAATAAAGCACATAATCACCTGAGATTATCTACTGTCATTTGAATGTTGTTGTTCCAGCCGCAAAACCTCTGATTAACATGGAAAAGATACCTTTTATCGCGTGTCGCGGCGTCGCGTCGCGTGTAGTTAGGACACGGCGTAAGAGTTTAACAGTTTAAATAAAATTATAATATAAAAATAATGCTTGTTTGTTAGTCTGGTTTTTTTCTCAAGCAGTTGTTTGTACAGATCAAAACCTATTACACAGGTAATGTTGGCCATAAGAAAGGTAAATAGTTTCCTTTCCGATCCCTAAGATAGTGTAATGTAATGGTTGCATTTCAGTGTGGCATGGATTTTCTTCCATATAGCAAACAGGTGAAATTAAACGTAATTTTATTTTATATGTTCCCTCCACGAAAAAAAAAATGTCATAGGCTAAGAAATATAAGGCACTGGTAAATAAAACATTTACCTTTAAACCTATCATCCAGCCACCTCAATCATTAGACAGCAATACAATCCAAAGCTGGCCCAAGGACATTCACTTATGTCCTTAATATTTAATTTGTGAGCTGTAGAGTGTAAAACTGTGTATTTGATTACATTTGTTTGTATTTGATTACATATACACTGTGTGTATTAGATTACATTTTGATGTGTGGATCACATTTCATTTTTGCACAGTGGCAGCATTGTATTTAAAAGTTTTTCTCTAGAATTTAAAGGGGTCATATGATGCGATTTCAATTTTTCCTTTCTGAGCAGTGTAGAGTAGCGCTTGTTGTTTGTCGTTTCTCCGATCACAAATGCAGACATGGTTTTATGTTACGCGGCACAATACGCAACGCGTAAAAAGACAGTATAATTCATTATAATCAGTAATTATGTCCCCACTGGATGCAACAAATGGGTTTTACTGGTTTTGTCTCGTCGCGCCGGTACACGGCCTCACAATATGATAAGGGGCGTAACATTTCCGTCACACGCTTGAGGTATTCGGCCAATCACAACGCACTGGATAGCAGGCCAATCAGAGCACACCTCGCTTTTCAGACCGATGAGCTTTGTAAAAATCGACGCGCTTCAGAAATGCGGGGCATAGAGGAGAAACAATAATGTACATTATGTGGAAAATAATGTGTTTTTGGACCTTAAACCGCATAAACACATTGTATTACACCAAATACACAAAATAATGTTCTTTTTAGCAACGTCATATGACCCCTTTAAACTCATGTTCATTTTCTTTGTGGCACAATTTCTGCAGGTCCTTAATGAAAGGCAATGCCATAAGTCAATTGCATTTACCATTGTTCTTTCTAACAATACTTATGTGTTTTAGCATCATGATTGCACGTTTTACAGTTCTTCAAGTACACAAAATATAAAATAAACTGTCCAGTTAAAAAAGTAATTGTGACTATAATATGACCATGATTTGATAGCAGATTCTGGGTTACTTAAAGGCATAGTCCAGTCAAAAATGAAAATTCTGTCATCGTTTATTCACCTGTAGGAGTTTTTTTCTTCTTCTGTGGAACAAAAAAAAGAAGATATTTTGAGGAATGTTGGTAAGCACACAGTTGATGTTCACTATTGACTTCCATAGTATTGGGGGAAATACCGTGGAAGTCTATGTGGATCAAAACATTTTTCAAAATGTATTTTGTGTTCAGCAGAAGAAAAAAATTGTACAGGTTTGGAACAATTTAAGGGTGAGTAAATGATGACAGAATTTTCATTTTTGGGTGAACTATCCCTTTAAACTTCTTATTTAATGCAGCTGAAGACAAACATATTAATAATAAACTGACTCAGCTGGATCACATGGGATATGAGAAAATTAGAAAAAAATAGCTCATTTGATTAGACTTGAGCACAACTGTGGCCCAAAGGCAGGACAAGTACATGTGAATTTTTTGTTGCCACATGTCCTTCATCACTAAAGTGCTTGGTGAGAAGGCCTGGGTTGTTGTAATGTTGTCATGAAACTTTTATGGGTGAGTGGAATGCAGGATTTATCAGCAATTCAACAACTCAAGTGGAGAATAGAAACAAACCTAAGTTGCACAAGCTTCATTTTATTGTGTAAAAGTTTATTTTAGGATGTAAGGAGTAGCTCCTACAAAGCATACTGTTTTCCAGATGTTATATGCCTTTTGTACATCTCGGGAACAGAAACTGGCAGTAAACTGAACGGGCATGACAGGGGCATGACCTGTTTTTATACAGTCTATGGGCAATTTGGGAATGACGCATCTTTCAGGAACTGAAAGTAGTACACTGCATACTGAGCTAGAGAAACATCGCTGTCCCGCTCGTGTAGGCTACTTTTCCTCAAGATACAAATAAAAGGATGTCAGAGATGAGGTGAGCACAGTTTCTAAATCTGAACTAAAGATTTGTCTGTCTTGATTATTTGTAACTAAATGACAAACGGGAATGATAACAAAGGCTGGAAAGTTCTGAAATCGGACCGGGAAGAACTGAGGAGTAGCGTTAGAGGTTAGCTGTCGAGTTTCAAGTTAGGTTTGTCGTTCCAACTGTTCAGATTATTGGCTACTTCATTCTCAGTTAGCATAGTAGCAGTACTGTGGTAAGAAATAAGAATGATTTCCTCTTGTATAGACCCCTTTTCAGTTAGTAAAGATTGTGACACATTGTGACGGTTTTTTTTTAAATTTAAGGTGCGTAGCTTAGATGGAGGCAGAAAGATTCCCCTGTTCTGACAGGAGTGGCCTGACACACATACCGGATAGAGAAACCGAACGTGTATATAGTACAAACTGGGGGCATATAAATCTTTAGATGTCTATAATACTAACAGTGGCAATTGTAAGCAAATGCAACTACTTGTTCCCTTTCTCTACAATTGCACTTATAACAATTATAGAAAGCGAGACGACACAAACGGTTTCCTTTATGTTTAGTCTCTGGTCGTGAGTTAACTTGTTCCCCAATTTCTGATTAAGTGGGCATGCATGAGAAATCTTTAGACTTGTAACCAAACCATAATCCATACCAACAAAAGACAATAGTTTATTTAACCTTAACTGATATGAAGTGTGCGCTGCAAACGCGAGCATTTTTGATGATCATTTCTGTCCAGTCCGCTGGTTTTATTGCCACATCTGTCGTGTTTTTTTTTTGTTTTGTCAGTCAATGGCAGCAGGTATGCGATAAAATTTCAAATTTGACCCTGTACTCCATCTGACACTCAACAACACCACAAAATGACATTTTAAGCTCTTTATGTAGCCGACTCTGTGCTGGTTTGTATCGGCGGCCTCCAGTCATCCCTTTGTTTTGCCTCCAGCCAGAGCTAATGCTGTGACGTAACTGTGACGTCGGCACTTAAAGGGTCTAAAGAGCTAATAAACAGTTCATTTTGCACGGATGATTTAATATTAATGTTTTCATTGAGACAATAATTGTTATGATTGTGGTTTAGAATAAATTTGATAACTCTTAACATTTTTTTATTATTATTAAATGTGTAGTAGTTTATTAATAGCTTTATATTAAGGGAGACTTGAGTGAGACGAAAAATATGAGAAATTCAATTTGTATATCAAAGGGCCTGTTACCTGGTCGCTTGATGCTTTTTACCATCGCCCTCCTGAGGCGACAGAAAAGCTGTCTCCGTGTAACAATAGGGTTTACAAGACAAAAAAACAATTATGCGGTAATTAATTTCATGTCAAGTTTATGATTATGGTAATGAATGTTAAATGAAAGAGTTGTATCGTCTGAATCAGAAGGCTCTCTTGCTCCATTTGATAACCACACAAGCTTTTTATTCTTCATTTTAAAAAGTAAAAATGAAAATTTCATGGCTGAGCAGCACTGCTCATTATACCAGCAGCTATGATGCTGCAGCTCTCTCCTGATTTCTACTGAAGCCTATAGAATTCCAAAGTGTCAAAATAAATAAATAAATATACAAAGAAATGTAAAAGAACAAAAATAAATGAGTATGTTTTACTTTTATTTCCTTATTTATGTATGGTTGTATTTTCACATTTATTTTTAATTTATTTATTTATACATTTATTCATTTCCACTTTTGTTTATTTCTAAATGTATTTATATCAACATTTGTTTATTTCCACATTTGTTTATTTCCTCATTTCTTTGTCCATATGGTAATGAAGGGGGCGTGTTTTACTTCAGGCGTAGCAATCGAGCTCAGAGTTGTGGGCAAGGAAGAAGCTTTGAAAAGCTTTGCAAAATTAGGAAACATTAATGTGCTATTTAATTTGCAGTTGTTTCAAACACACTGATCAATATGCATATAGACTGAGCTGTTGTGTAAGTTTCATCAGCAATAAATGCAAGCTCTTATCAGCCACATCCAGTTTATTTACATGAAATGTGATTAATATTGGATGATTTAATGTGCACACACTTCTGTGTCAAATGTGTTATCAGATCTGATTTACTGAAGTTGCAGTTTCTGTTCGTATTCAGCTAAATACCAAAAATCCCGACCGGACATTTTATCTGGAAAAGAGTATGTATGTTCATCCTATACTGTTACATACAATTATTTTGATATTTAATTACTTAAACCAAGGTATACGATTTTGGTCATATCGCCCACTTCTAAGCCATTCATCCATGGACTTGAACTACTCAAATGCCTCAAAGCTTTTTCCTTGCTTAAGCCAGAACTCTGAGCTCTATTGCTATGTCTGAAGTAAATCAGACCCCCTTCATTGCTATATAGACAAAGAAATGTAGAAATAAAAAATAAAAAATGTGAACATAAACAAATGTAGAAATGAATAAATATATAAATAAATAGATATAAAATACGTTTAAAAAAAATACATTTATGCATAAAGAAATAAAAGTAGAAAGATTTATTTATTTAGATATATTTTGTGTGTGTTTTTTAAATTTCTTTGTAAATGTATTCAATAATTATTTTGGCATTCAGCACTGGGACTGATCAATCCCTGCATGGAAGATTTATGAGGTCGCTTGCTGGATAAGGTGTTAGTGCGGTCAGCAGGGGGCGTGCTCTCTGCATCCACATTTACTAATATTGTGGTAGGACATATAACCTACCATAAAAGTCTCTGTAGTTTAAATGATCATTTAAATGTAAGTCCTGACTAAAAAAGAACAGGGCGTTTCCCTAAAAAACTAGGAGTGTAGTCCTGGCATCCTGGCCAAATTTATCAGTCCATGTGCTTGTGGAGTTCAGGAGATTCTCCTGTCACTCTAAAGCACTTTGAGTTATATAATGTATAAATATATGTGTGTGTGTGTGTGTGTGTGTGTGTGTGTGTAATTAATTACTGTGGAAAGTTATCACTATAGCCACCGCTATATATAAACATTCAGACAGATGGTTTTCTCTGTGGTGGTATTATTATTTAATAAACAATATTTAATATACAGTATTTTTTGTCAGATATTATTTAAAACTAAATAGTTAAGGGGGTGGGTGTTCACATGGGTATATAATATAATATATATAATTATTGGAATATATAATTATTATAATAATATAATAATACAATAATTAATTTGTTTTCTTGTTAGTTCAATCCAGGACAGTTTACAGTCGAAACTGGATCAGCTGGAGTGTCACTTCACTTGGGACATTAAAAAAGATGATCTACTCCTAACAAATATCCTCAATAGGCTTGAGGAACAGGTCAAGTTGGGTCTAGGGATGGAGCTAGGAGTTGCACGAACTCACTGCTCTTTAGGATATGTGAAATTCCTTCTTGGGCGCAAAGAAGAGGCTCTTACTCACCTGTTGAAATCTGAGACACTCATTAAAGAAAACCTCGGGGTCAACAGTGACAAGACTCTCATCGTCACCTATGGAAATTTTGCCTGGATAAACTACCATATGAAGAACTACACAGAGTGTGAAAGTTACCTGATGAAGCTTCAGAAGATAAATGAAACATTTTCAATCGAGCCTTCATCTGTTCCTGAGGTGCTTGGTGAGAAGGGATGGGCCTATCTTAAATTCTCTCGCAAATATTATGACAAAGCCGCAGAAGTTTTTCAGAAGGCTGTGGAACTGGACCCAGAAAATAGCGAGTGGAACGCTGGTTATGCAAAAGCTCTGTATCGCACTGAAACTGGCACATATTGCTTTGTGGATTCACCTGCAATCAAGCAGCTGAGACAGACCATTGACATCGACCCAGATGATGATGCCTCTACAGTTCTTCTAGGACTTAAACTTCTCTTATGTTCCAAAGTGTTGAAGAATGAGTCTGAGAAACTGATAGAGAGAGCTCTGAAAGGCTCTCCAGAACATCCACATGTCATAAGATATGTTGGGAAATACTTCAGGAATCAAGGATCTGTAGACAGGTCAATTGAACTGCTGAGCACAGCACTTGAAACATCACCAAACTCAGGCTTCATACATCATCAGTTGGCAATGTGCTACAAGACCAAGAAAATTAATTTACAGAAAGAAAAATGGGAAGGAAATAAATATGAGGTAAATAAAGCACGAAATCAGTGCATTTACTATTTAGAAAAGGCAACTTCTCTAAAAGCTTCCTTTGTCTTTGCCATGAGTGAGCTCGCACTTCAGTATGGAGAGAAGCGTAATCTGCCCAAGGCAGAGGAACTGTTTGACAGGACATTTAAAGCAGCTAGAGAGAAGAGTGATAATGTGCATGTAGTACATTATCACTATGCTGAGTTCCAACAGTACAGCAACAGATGCGAGGAGTTAGCAGTCGAACACTACAAGGAGTGTTTGAAAATCGGTCCACATACTAGTGAGGGGTATAGAAGTGCAAAGAAACTGAAAAACATTGCCCAGAGATACATCAAGGATGACCCAGATGATTGGAAGGCCAATGAAATACTGGGATTCATTTATCACATGAAAGAGGAAATGTTCGGGGACACCAAGAGCTATGAAGCCACTTCAGACAATGAAGAGGATGATGAATCCCTCAGCAATCTTTGTGAGATTAATTGCAAAATATAAACTTTCTACAAAGATGCATAATTACCGGTAGTTGTTAAAAAACAAAAAACAATGGGCCTTATTTGTGTATTTATGTGCGCAGAAAACATGCACATAAATTTGTTACCCTTGTTCTAAAGTTGATGAATCCGGTTGATGCCAAATGACGGAGTGAGTCCCTGCAGCTAGTAATTTGCATGAAACATGCCCAAACTATGTCCACATAAGGCTTTTCCATACAGTCTGACATCTCTCCTTTTCTTGCTAGTTTGCTCTCTCTTTTAGTGTGGCATTCTCAAAATCGGTTTAAGACAAAAACTGTTTTTATTATAGTCGTACAATTGGGCCTACATTTTGTCATGGATTCAGAATGCTTTTTGTCTCCTCTGAAATGTAATTTTTACCTTACAGATCTGTTTGATTTACTCAGTTGTCTTAATTATATTGTATTTTGCTGTTAAAAAAAACAAAAACAAAAACTAAAAAAACCCTGCTGTAATACAGTCTTTCAGAATAGTAGAATAAATAAAATGTAGTCAGTGCCATATATATATATATATATATATATATATATATATAATAAAAAAGGAGCTTCTCCTTTGAACTGAAATAAAATTAAGGTGACCCGGTAGAATTCTTCTATAAAAACTAAAACTAATGCAGCCCTGTTAGTCTTGATATATTGATTTTGCAGTTGTACTTCCTTTTTAGGAAACTGAATGTCAGGTGTTACATCTTCTGATTATATTTTACTCATCTCTTCTCTGTATTAGGATTTCAGTTTCCTTCCCACTTAACAATTCACTTTTTAAGGTCATTATGCCGTTTCATTTGAATGTCATTTTGATGCATATGGTGTTGATGAGGAATGAGTAGTTTCATCATCTGTCATTGTATAGGGAACACACTGTAGGAATACTGGATGTTTAAGTGCAAATATAATTTGTGTTAGCATGTGAGCTTTACTTTTTATAGCATTAAACTTGTAATACTTTAGCAAATAAACTATCTGATTGCAGGAAACTCTAGAACTCATGTGAAAGAAAATCTTGGGTTGTGCAAATTTACATGATAACCTATGGTATTGATTATACCAACTAATGTTGCTTAAACTTGCAGAAGCAGATGTGAAATTATTTGTATGTGAGATTATTTGTAAGTAGCCTATATCATTATATGTTTAGCTATATTTAGTAGTTTGTTATTGTTGTATCTTTATTGTATAATAGACTGGATATTTTAACCTTTATATTCAAAACATTTTCATGAAGCATGAGATTTAAGGAGCTGAAGATACAGAGAAATGTATGTGTCCATCGAATCTGACATTGTTACTGATATTAAATAAATGTTGTTCATAGATATTTATCCTACTACTGGGGTATTATTTAAAAGTTGTTGATTACAGTGGCTAAAAGCAGCACTATGGATTTTAACAGTGGTTCATATAGATGATATTGCAGTTGTAATTTGTTCTTTTTAGAATTTACTTATTTTTTCCTCTGTTGTTGTTGTTGTTGTTGTTTTCCTGTTTTCTTATCTTTTGACAAGTTGACAAATTCTTATGATGGTAATTATGAGCATCTGCTGGTTGATTTGATTAGTAGCATGCATACAAACTTACATTAGCCTATTTCTTCAGCATTTTGAAGAAGAGAAAGAGAAGAGAAACCAACTCTAGAAACTATTTGTCATCCGTAGAATCCTTGAAGAACTGCTTAGTTGTAGCAAACTCATGATCATAACAAAATACATAACTTGTCAAAAATGTCAGACCATGACATGTACCCTTTATATCTGAATCTTACAGCTCAGAGCGACTGGCCAGATATCTAGAGATCAGCACTGCCCTCTACTGACTTAAATAACATACTACAACTGGAGCTTTAGTTTTTATATCCTGCATTTGTAATTAAAGGAAAACTCACTGACTGCTTACACATTACTATGAAATTTGAGAGATCGATAGAGAAAATATATACAATGTAAGTCTTGATGTGTGTGTTTTTAAAGATTGCTAGTGTAGATGAGAAATTTTTTGTCGAACAGGAAGTCAATAAAAGGCACGAGAATTTTTATACATATACAACTCCTCTATCAATTAAACATTTTTAAACAAAATTTGATTAAACAAATGAAAAAAAAATTCAAATTGCTATCCCAACGCTATGAAGTGGCTGGTATAATTATCATCAAGTCTTTTTTTTTTAGAAGTATAATAGTCTACTTGTTTGTCTTCACATGACACCAATTTTGGGTCTTTGCTCAGGCTGTTCTTTTGGTTTCTCTGACAACGACGAATGACAGCGACTGAGAACAGCAGAAGAGAACTGGAGATCAGGGCGAACCCACTCAGAAAGAATGTTGCCGTATAAGTCCCTGTGGTGTCTACCAACCAACCTATGTATTAAAAAAAAAGTTACATGATTATATAGCTTATATAGACATAGCTTTTTTTTTTTTAAATAACCTTTATCCTTCCAAGAAAATAACTCTTTTAATGTGGTGAAATGAGAGCAGGATGGTTAATGTGTCTCTGTACATTAATAGTTAACCACTTATCAGGCTATTTTAACAGGGCACATCATTACAAAGTGACAATTGTGGTTAAGGTTTTTTTTCTTCTTATTGTCTTTAAAGAACACTCCAGGTAATATTTAACCTATTTTTTATGTACTGCATCAAAGGCATGGTGTTGATTACCACAGAATATAATAACAACTCTTCACTCATCACAGTGACAAATTAATGTGTATATAGATAATTTGAGGCTCTTACCTCCAATGGGTGGGCTGACCAGATAGGGAACAGCGTGGAGGAAGTACACAACCCCAAGAGCTGAAGAGAGGTATGTTGTCCCTACAATATCTGACGTTACCACAGGAATGAGGGCAACATAGGCGCCATCAAAGTACCCATAGAGCACAGAGAATGGTACCAGCAAGACAAATGTGTGTAAGAGGGGGATAAAAAGACAGCATAGTCCCTCCATTCCCACAGCAAACATGTAGCATATATTCCTGTACTTCTTCAGACATCTGGGAGAGATACAGAAAGTGTTAGTCAGCATGATCAGAAGCAAACAATCAACAATTTTTGTTTGTTTTCCTACAGCCTGAGCAATTGTTTTTTTTTTCTCTAGCTTTTTGACCTCTATGAATCATTTATCAGACAAGAAACCATGACATGTACTCTTGTAAATCTCAACTCTAAACTGACAGCTGGGTCAATGATAAATCTGAAAACATGTTCAAAGGTATTAAAAATATATTCTTTGTCTTCATGTCCATTTCATACGTTTTAGAAAACTTTTTTTAAATGTCTTCAATTTAATGACTCTAAATGTGTCAAAAATATCACCATATTTTCCGTACACTTTGAATACATGGGTGTCACAATCCCCAGTCACCAGTCTATTCACTATCCTCTATTACAGTCCTCAGTCACCAGTCCATTCACTATCCTCAGTCACCAGCCCAGTCTACTGGGAACGACATTTCCCAGCATCCCTTCTGGTCAACACCTGCACTCAGTCAGCCATCACCACACCTGCCACAGATGATGTCATCACGCCCTGTATAAGAGCAGTCACTCACCACGTCTTCCTTGTCTGGTCTCGTCTCTCCACGTATGAGGACTGGCTACTTCCTTGGATACTTACCGGTAGTGATGGTTAAATGAAGCTTTGCGAAGCACCTAGGCTTTCCCCTCAACTGTATCGTAAAATGGTTTGTTACTCGAAGCTTTTCAACACGTTGCACACTAATGACATCTTGTGGTCAAACGTGAAAAAAGGTGCCTCAGACCACCCAGGCATTTTTGGACTGTTTCATAAAATAAATCAATTTGTGCTACGAAAACAGTATAAGGCAATAAAAGATAAAAATGTCATTGTACTTATACAACGTATATATAAATTAGTCTGTGCATAAATTTATTTAAAAAAATAAGCATCACTCCTGGGAACGACATTTCCCAGCATCCCTTCTGGTCAACACCTGCACTCAGTCAGCCATCACCACACCTGCCACAGATGATGTCATCACGCCCTGTATAAGAGCAGTCACTCACCACGTCTTCCTTGTCTGGTCTCGTCTCTCCACGTATGAGGACTGGCTACTTCCTTGGATACTTACCGGTAGTGATGGTTAAATGAAGCTTTGCGAAGCACCTAGGCTTTCCCCTCAACTGTATCGTAAAATGGTTTGTTACTCGAAGCTTTTCAACACGTTGCACACTAATGACATCTTGTGGTCAAACGTGAAAAAAGGTGCCTCAGACCACCCAGGCATTTTTGGACTGTTTCATAAAATAAATCAATTTGTGCTACGAAAACAGTATAAGGCAATAAAAGATTAAAATGTCATTGTACTTATACAACGTATATATAAATTAGTCTGTGCATAAATTTATAAAAAAAAATAAGCATCACTCATGTATGGGTAATACATGATCAAAATGAATGAAGATTATTGTGGAATGGTCAGTTGAAGTGTTTGTGAAGTAGGGGTTAACACAGACTGAACATGCACAAAACTACACGTAAATATTTATTCGTATTATAATTTATTCTTATCAAAGAAGTGAATGACACTTAAACCTGCACAGTGGGTTCGTGTTATTTGAATCAGAATATGAAGCAGTCACGTGGTTGTGTGCAAAAACTTAGCTTCAGACGTCACATGTCACATGGTTATGGCAAAACGTATCAAGCTCCGGTACAGTGCTTCTCTGTTAGATGTTTCATTTTTTTGATACAAGCTTCGAAGCCTCGGTGCCGAACATCACATCACTACTTACCGGTAGTACTTCAGTCAGTCTTCAGTTCCACTCTTCACTAAGCCTTCACCACACACCCGCCAACACCTGCAAAAAAAAAAAAACTGTTCATGCTCAAGCTAAGAACAATCCATCTTCGTTGAATTATATACTCACATGTTTGCTGCTTCAATACCTGTGAAAAAAGACTTTGTTGTTGACATTATGTCCTCTCCTTCTGTACTTGTGACAGAAGACCAGACCCGCAACCATGATTTCAGCGGCAGTCACCACAGAGAATATTCTGTGTTCCATTTACCAAAATGGCAGCAGTATAAGAAGGATATGTGGAGGAATTCCTGCAGTATTGTCATTTAACATCATGGGATGACAGAGTCCTGATGGTTTTGTTTTGGAGTGGACTAGATAAGACTCTCTACATGGATACCAGTGGGAGAATTTGGCGTCACACTTGAATGGTATTTAGATATTGTGCTGTGGCTATGTGGCTCCCCATATATGGTCAGTGTGGTGGAGCAGGACAGCTCAGAGAAAGCAGCCCCTGTCAATCTGAATTCTAAACTGAGGGATCTTCCTATCATATCTGTTCAAAGGACCAGGAAAACCAGTTCAGTCATGCTAGGTCTGTCCACTTCTAAAAAAGTATACCCTTGCCTATTTCATGGCCTTTCATATGTCTGCTCCAGGCCACATATCTGTTTCGGAGCCTGTACAATCCCCCAAGCTCAGGCAAAGATGCTAGTCAACCTCAGCCCATAGAAGGAGGCTGAGCAAGAAGAGATGGTTCTCAGCGGCTCCAACCACTGACCCTGAGTCCGTTCCAGTGTTGGCTCCAGCCCCTGAGTTCACTCCAGTGTCACCTCCAGCCAAGGAGCACATTACAGAGAAGTCAGTAAAGAGTCCGCTACAGAATGCTCTCCAGAGTCCACTCCAGAGTCTGCTCTAATGTCTGCTCCAGCCCCTGAGTCCGCTCCAGCGTCGGCTCCAACCAGTGAGCACAGTACAGAGATGGCGCCATTTCTGGAGTTCAGTAACGAGTCTGCTCCAGTCTCAGTGATCTGAATCGAGCCCATTCTGGCCCCAGAAGTCAGTGTCAAGACCATTACTCTAAATCTAAATCTACATGGGAGCCCACTCTAACCCCTGAATTGGCATCGGAGCCCGCTCGTGCCTTTGTAATAACTCACCATTGAAGTCCAGTCCTTGAGTCCAAACGAGAATTCCTTCCAGACCATAAACCCACTCCAGAGCCCCTGACCAGAGTACAGTGATGGCCCCAGTCCTTATCCCTAGTTCTATGCCTGCTCTGGTCCCTGAGCTCAGCCCTGTGCCCGCTCTTGTCCCCGAGCACAGCCCAGTGCCTGCTCTCATACCAGAGCTCAGCCTAGTAAACTTTCAACCACCAGAAACCTCAATTAACAGGGCAACCAAGTCAGAATCTCCAGCAATCATGAGTGCTAGACCTGAGTCTCCTGAGGTCATAGCCCATAGGTCAGTACCCAATCAGATTGTTCCCAGCCTGGAGGATTCAGAGTCCCTTCTGTCACTGATTATTCTCCCTATTACGGCAGTAGACATACTGTGTTTGGGCCGCACACTCCCCTACCACTCGTAGCAAAGTGGAGGTGTTAGTTCCCAAATTGCCTGTTTGTCCTGATATGACCATTGAGGTCGTTCTTGAGTTTTTCGGTCTGTCAGTCGGCGACCCAAGAAGGCAACCTTGGGTTACTTGGTTACCCACAAGTGGCTGTGGCTGCCGACAGAATCTCCTGTTTTCCTGTATCCTGGCCAAGGCGGCCGATGGAATCTTCTCTTCTTCTGACTTTTGCCTGTCTTCAATGTCCTGACCATGGTGGCAAATGAAATCTCCTGTTCGCCTGTCTTCTGTGTCCCAGCCACAGCGGCCAATGGAATCTTCTGTTCTCCTATCTCCTGTCTGTCAAGACCAGCCCTCCAGATGCCTGTCCCTCAGCCGGCCCTCCAGACCCCGGTCCCTCAGCCGGCCCTCCAGATGCCTGTCTCTCAACCGGCCCTCCAGACGGTCCCAAGTCAACCAGCCCTCCAGATGGTCCCAAGTCAGCCGGCTCTCCAGATGGTCTCAAGCCAGACATCCTGCTCGGAGATGGCCCCTGAGGCTATTGCTGACCTCTCTGTGCTTTATATTTCAGTCCCTCCACATCTGCCCTGGTGGTCATCTACTCTGCTGTGGTGTTCTTTAAGCCCATCTACATTACTCGGGTAGTCATCTGCTCAACCTTGGAGGTCTTCAGCACCATCTACGCTGCTGTGGTGGTTGTCTGCTCCACCGTGGTGTTCTTTAAGCTCATCTACACTACTCTGGTGGTCATCTGCTCCACCTTGGAGATCTTCAGTTCCATCTACGTTGCTCTGGTGGTCATCTTCTCCACCATGGTGATCCTTAGTCTACACTGCTCTGGTGGGCATCTGCTCCACCGTGGGGATCTTCAGTTACAGTACTTCTGCTCTGCCTTGTTGGCTTCCTGCTCATCTGGCTCCGCCCTGGCTCAAATTATCCTGGTTTCATCCTCCCTCTACTCCCCAGTTGGACCTGTATTCGTGCGAGGTCGCACCTTCTGGGAGGGGGAGTACTGTCACAATCCCGAGACACCAGTCCAATCACTATCTTCAGTCACCAGTCCAGTCCACTGGGAACTACATTTCCCAGCATCCCTTCTGGTCAACACCTGCACTCAGTCAGCCATCACCACACTAGTCATAGATGATCTCATCAAGCTCTGTATAAGAGCAATTACTCTCCACTTTTTCCTTGTCTGGTCTCGTCTCTCCACGTATGAGGACTTACCTGGCTACTTCCTTAGATACTTACCGGTCTTCAGTTAGTCTTCATTTCTAGTTTTCACTAAGCCTTCACCTCACACCCGCCAGTACCTGCAACAAAGAACTATTTATGCTCAAGCTAAGAGCAATCTATATTCATTGAATTATATACTCACCTGTTTACCACGCTGCTTCTCTAAAATACCTGTGAATAAAGACTTTGTTGTTGACGTTACATCTGAGTCTTCTCCTTCTGCACTTGTGACAATGGGAGTATACACATTTTAATCATTATTTATTTTATTTATTTGTCATTAATATTATTTTCTTCAATTTTCAAATGTTCTTTTAATGAATTCATGATATCAGGACAGTTTTATCACCATGCCATTTTTTGACAAAAAAATGTTATAAATAAAAAATCTAAATTAATAAAATGTTAATCAGAAAATTCATGCAAAAGTCATTGCATGTGTATTAAGATCTAGATAAAATGATTGTCATGTCATTGACCCAGCTTTTTATTGAAAAACTAAATCTGTGCTAAGAAAAATTGTTAATCAGATCTTAAGAAAAGAAACAACATGTGGCTCAGTCAATAAATGACCTATTTCTGTTTTTGACTGTAATGCAATACTTACACTGGACAAAACAACATACCTCCTGTCAGTGAGCCAGCCAAATGTGATGTTGCCAATGATGTCAATGACCCCAAGTATGGACATCAGGAAGGCAGCATGCTGATGACCGACACCTACATCCAGCGCATACGGTACTAGGTACACAAACGGCAGACTGCACCCACTGGCCAGCAACAGGAAGGAGCCTGCCAGCACCAGGAAGTCAGGCATGAGCAAAAAGTGGTATTCCTGCATGGACTGAAAACAACGTTGTTTAGCATCTAATTCTAATTTATCTCCCACAGCCTTCCCTGTAGGAACGCTGTTCACCGTGGGTGGCTTAACACCATACTCGCACTCGGAGTCCACTGGAAGTGGACAGGCCTCCTCTTCTTTTAGAATGATGGGCCGTAACAGAGCTCCACATACACACAGGTTAGACACAAAGCCTCCTAAAATAAGGAGGGCCCCCCGCCACGAGTAGTGTTCGATTAGCAGCTGCACTACTGGGGCAAGGATGAAGGTCCCGATGCCACTCCCAGACATGGCAATGCCATAGGCCAAAGCCTTCCTCTCACAGAAATAGATACCGACCATGGCAATAGCAGGAGTGTAGCAAAGGGCAAAGCCAAGCCCTAAAAAAGAAGAATATAAAATAAAACCACTACATACAAAGTACAGAATATGGGTCTATAGGTCAGTGTTTTATTCTTAGGGCTCTTACCAGTTAACACTCCCAGGGTAAGGTAAAGATATTTCAGACTGGTGGCGAAGGAGCTGAGGACTAAACCTATGGAGGACAGGAATCCTCCTAGTATTACAGCTACACGGCATGACAACCGATTCCCGATCAGGCTTCCGAGTGGAGCTGCAAAAAGTAATGTGAATAAACATTGTGCAAATCATATTGAATAATATGTTAAGAAAAAATCATAAAAACAAAAATATTTTTATTATATAGAGTAAATATTTAAATAATATTTACTGTAAGCTGGGTTTCCATCCATGTACACTACTATACAAATAATTTAGGGCCTTTTTTTTTTTTAAATAGAAATTGATACTTGTATTTAGCAAGGATTAAATTAAATTGATCAAAAATGACAGTTTTACATAGTTACAAAAGATTTCTATTTTAAATAAATGTTCTGTTCTTGTGAACTTTCTATTCATCAAACAATCCTGAAAAAATGTATTACGGTTTCCCCAAAAATAGTAATCAGCTGTTTTCAAAATTGATTATAAGAAATGTTTCATGAGCACCTAACCAGCATATTAGAATGATTTCTGAAGGATCATGTCAAACTAAAGACTGAAATAATGGCAAGGGCCGGATTAACATAAGGGCTGGATTCAAGAATTACAGTAGCGTTCAATTAAGGCATCTACCAAGGAGATTTTAATAGTTCTAATAAATGTTTAATTCAATAATTAAGAGCCTGCAATATAATGGAATATTAATTGTTAATTATTAATGGAATATTAATAATTAAGTGTTAAATGACTTTGCAGTATATTCAAAAATATGTATTATTATTTGTTTCCATCTTTTATTTATTTATAAACAATTTATTTATTCCAATTGCCCTAACCCCAGCAAAACATTTATGTTGGATTGTGTTGCCAGATGGGCAGATTTATTTTTTTGGCGTTGCCTTCATTTTGATAGGACAGTTAGTTGACAGGAAGCGAAGTGGGAGAGAGATGGGATTGGGAAAGGTCCACGAGCTGGGACTTGAACTCAGGACGCCCGAAGCACAATGGTGCTATATGTTGACCCACGAGGCTATCGTGAATTTTAGCCTAAGTCAAGCCCTGATATTCTCCTCTTCTAGGGCCAGAAAGAAGATGTTCTAATAATAAAACTAGCCTATTTAAAGTAAAGAGTCATATGCTCAAAAGTTGTTGCTGTTTCTGGAAACCTGTTTGCTTATATATTTATACATATCTGGTGTAAATGCATTTATGCTTTTAATGTGTTGTAGCCTGGAATATTTAGTATACATACTCATTGTATCTCTGTGTTTGAGATTTGTTTAAAGGGGTCATATGATGCTGCTAAAAAGAACATTATTTTGTGTATTTGGTGTAATGAAATGTGTTTATGCGGTTTAAGGTTAAAAAAACACATTATTTTCCACATACTGTACATTATTGTTTCTCCTCTATGCCCCGCCTTTTTGAAACGCGTTGATTTTTACAAAGCTCATCGGTCTGAAAAATCGAGGTGTGCTGTGATTGGCCAGCTATTCAGTGCGTTGTGATTGGCCGAATACCTCAAGCGTGAGACGGAAATGTTACGCCCCTCACCATACTGTTGATGCGGTGTCCCGGCCGGAGCGAAGATACAAAAACTTTAAAACCCATTACAAACGAGGCATTTTGTTGCATCCAGTGGGGACATAATTACTGATTATAATGTCTTATACTGTATTTTTACGCATTTCATTGCATTGCATCGCGCCGCGTAAACATAAAACCCTGTCTGCATTTGTGATCGGAGAAATGACAAACAACAAGTGCTACTCTACACTGCCCAAAACTCGCGTTTGAATCATCAGTGGCAAATCCTTAATATATGAGGGCCCTGGGGCCCTATGTGTTCTCAATCCGGGCTTGGGCTGGTGAAAATTCAGCTTTGCCATCACAGGAATAAAATTGTAAAATGTATTAAAAAATAGAAAACGTTATTTTACATTGTAATAGTATTTTACAATATTACTTTATTTTTTATCCAATAAATGGAGGCTTGCTGAGCACATTTGACTTATGTTCAAAAATGTATATAAAAAATTTATTTCTGAGAAAATATGTAGATATTGCATAAAAATGCTGGATGGAAACAAGAAGATATGAATAAAATTTCCAAAAGGTGCATAAAAATGTAAGCATACACATTCGCTTTAGGTGGATTTTTTATTCAGTAAGAAGGAATAAGCTTCAACAAAAACACATTTCTGAAATGAATTCATATGCACATCAAAAATGTCAAGTGACATTCTTCCAACCACTAAGCAAACATAATATCGTCAGATTGTTTTGTCTGTGTTTTAAACGGCCACTAATTTTTTAATATTACATTACACATTTTGCAATATTATATTACACAATGTTCATTAAATGAAATATTCAACATTTTTTAATTTAATAAAAGAGTCACAGTCGCAACAACTTCCATTATTATTTTGCACCAGTTTCCTCAGAAGTGAGGATTTTGTTATATTGAACACATGGGATGGAAATGCTTTACTTGGTAATCGTCTATATTGTGATTATTCCGCTAATGAGCCACTCTCTCATACTACTTGACATCATACAGTATTACATGAAATACAACTATGTGCCTCTACAGACTCCTACACAGCCCCAGATACATATCAGCCATGTGATAAAAGAAAACATGTCAGCCAAACACAATATCGGAAAACTTTAAATAATAACAGCATTTCTTACGTCTTTTGTTTACTAGTCAGCTGCCTAAAGATGGCCTTTCCTCAGCAATGTAATTCTTAAGATTGCTGTACTGTCAACAGCAGACAGTACTGGGTGTAAGGAAAGCAAACAGGCCTGTTTTTTTGGGTCAAGCTTGCGACACTGACGTGTCCTCTCAAGATGTACGGTGTGTGTTGCTGACTTCAAGAGAAAGTTTTCAGCCTCCCACAGGCTGCAGGTCTTTCTTAGTGTCTTATGCAACAGCATTGTCTCAGATGGGCAAAAACTCTGTCTAAACCAACTGTGTGACCAATCTAGAAAAGAGAATTTGTAACTGAATTCTGCTGATGGAATCCCTACTTCAGACTGGGCCAATAATGATGACTGTGATATACTAATGTCGAATGACTTCAGTGTCCAATATGATTATTACATACCACACAGCATGGTTGTGCAGTCCACTAATGAATGAATCCATGCTGTCCCAGAGTAATCTCTTGCAAAGTGCATCTGAAACTCAACGAAGAATATGGAGATGCATCTGAAAAAGAGAAAAAGACAACTCTGATCAGACAAAACCCACACAACACAAGTTGTGGTCTTTGAAGGATCATATTGTGCCACTTCAAACTAACAACACGTTTTATAGTCCAGTGCCATTCACAGCCAGTAACAACGAACAGCCGTGCAGATCGTGGGTGTCTAGATATGAAAGGCTGAGATGGGGTAATGAGGCACAAGTCTCTGCAGTGCCTGTTCTGCACCTGAACAAACAAAACTAGATCACCATGCAGGTCATTCGGGTCAGAGCACTCAGTGTGGGTATGACAGCCAGCAACTCTCACGTCTTCCGCCACTGAGACAGCCGTGTCTGGCCATCAGCCATCAAAGAAGGAGATGTGCTTCAGTCAACCGTTCCACAGACAGTGAAAAAACCCAGTCAGCAAAGCCAGTCAGCAAAGTTGCAGTCTCAAAGGGTAAAATCTTACTCTAGAACTTGAATAACACGCACATATGTGGATGATAAGAGCTTTGAAGGGGAAAGAAGAGAATATCCATAAGATAAAGAAGAGGTTAAAAAGACATATATTTTTATCCGAAGATCACTGGCTGCCCTTTAAGCTCTAAAAGAGTTTCACCATCTGGTACCTCTCTGGTTGATTATTACCACTTATCTCAACAGGACTTAAGAAATGGTCAAAAGAGTCCTTGTTTAAGAGGTGAGAGGTCACATAAACTCTTTTGTTCTCGCCAGCCTGCTTGCAATTTCATCCTACCTACATCATTAGTGGATTTGCAGACCCGTTCTTCAGGTTCTTGCATTTCACACCTTTTCATGTCAGCCAATGTACATTTCAGTTGAACAATAAAATAATTATACAGCGTGGTCAGTTCAGGACGTTCCTTGCCTGAGGGGAAAGACAAAATACTGCTAAACAGAACAGCTTGTTCAAAGCAGTATAAAAGGAAGGACTTTAACTCTTTAAACATATTACAGAAAAATGTCACAAGTGTGTTAACATAACCAAAGGATTTAAAACACCTAAGAGTTGCTGGTCATTAGATGTAAAAAAGAAAAAAACAACATCAACAACACTGTGTTATCTATATCCATGTCTGAAGACCTGAAAGTTGTTTACAAGTCTGTCAAATGTAACCTGACCTCAAAGGCTGCTGCAGAAACACCAGATAGCTCTTGTCACTTTGTGAACCAGTGACTCATTCTAGGTAATTCTCAGCGTGGAAAGAACTAAATATAGTTGTGCCTCATGTACTGTGCTAAACAAAAGTATGTACTATTTAACAGGTTAACCCCATTTGAGAAACAAACCCTGACATTTTAAGGAGACACAATATTCTTAAGGTACTGAACATCAAGTTAAACTCTATGGTATAGCTGAAAAACCCCACCTATCAATAAAGTTTGCTTTAAACTAGTTCTAGTTCTACACAGGTATGAATAACAGCATACACCCTCCAAAAAGCTTACCTCGTAACAGCTCTGGTGCAAACAGTTACCACAAAGCAGCCAGCCACGATCATCCATCCCCACCCTCCATCAGGTGGAAGGACGCCTCCTTTCTTCTTTTCCTGAGTCATGGAGTCTGTCCTTCCCACAACCTTTATTTACCTCCAAAACTCCAAAACACCCAGTCTCAAACACACGTTGCACCTCTCTGCCGCCACACTCACACCAGTCATGGAATTCCTTCTGCAGATGTGAGGCCCGGTCAGTGACTCTGCTGAGCGCAAGATGACACAGTCAGCAAAACAGACAGGAATAAGTAACAATCTCAGCTAAAATGATTAACAGGCACAATGGGTGATGTGCATATTCTCAGAAAATGTGACATCTTCCAGGGTTTGGGGCTCCTTTTTGCTCTTACAAATGATTCACAGTAAAGAGTGAAATGATGCATGACTGCATTCATGGGAAGTGTTTATGAGAGAGAGCCCAGCTTGACGGGTTGCCATATTAACTTGAGACCTTGCAGTCGGCCTCCCTGACCCTTCTGACCCCTTTGTCCTAATTAAAAAGCTGCTCCCCCCCCCAAATACCATCCAGTTTTCGGCATCCTAAAAAATATACCTTGACACTAGTTGTCAATCTATTAAAATAAGAGACAATGGTGTGGAAAATGAGATGCATACTTTAGAGCCATGAAGAGCTACAGTGAAAACAATCAAATGTGGCCATGTACACAATGTACTCTGTCAGGATAAGATGATACCAGTTTTTGTTCCCCTTATTATGCAACTGAACTGTAGTTTATGACTCTTCTAATCTAGATATCAGTCAACTGTGGGAACAGTCCCAATTGCACATTGTTTCAATGCAACATGAAAAACACATCAACTCACCAGATTTCTTTGAAGGTATAGGCTTGTCTAATTGTCTAACTGTTGATTTCTGGGATTATTTACTCTCCTCTTTTTATATTCAAAGTATGCCTTGTCAGTATATAGCAAATTTTATGTGTGTAAATGCATCTCAGATTTAAAGTGGTTTCCTTCAGAAGTTGTCTACAAGACAGAAAGCAGCACAGAAAGCCCCCCTTTTATTGATCCTGGATCAACATTACTGTCCAAAAATATAGACTAAACCCAATACCTACCCCTAAACCTAACCCTACCCATAATTTATTCCTAAAACCAGTGTGAAATTCTTATTGGTTAATTAACAAGGGTGTAGAAGCACCTAACCCTGATCATAAGCCTAAAACAGAATTTATTCCTAAAACCAGTGTGAAATTCTTATTGGTTAATTGGAATGTTGTTCCAGGATCAACAAGGATGTTGATCCAGGAACATGTTGTACTATGTGAAATCACGGTCCACCCCGCCCCCCATTAATAATAGTTTTACATATAATTAGCCTATATTTTGCACCTGCAAATCTTAAAGACACTTGTCATGAATTTGCCTAATAATCAAATAGGTTAAACCTTAGAAAGTTCAAGGTTTAAATATCAAATATAAAAGATAAAAAATATTTGCTAATTATTAGGCCTACATTTGGCATAGTAAAACCCAATATATTATTATTATTATTAGATATTTATTTTTTGAAGAATGCGTCAAATCGTAACAAAATTAATTTATTCTAATAGGCCTAATAATAAAGTAAGAAATCTGAGAAAGTTTCATGTCGTTTTGTTTTTCTTTGTTTTTAACAACGGAATATAAATCCACCAGTGCACGTCATTCGCTTGTTGAAACCAGATGTTTAAAAAACTTCTCAAAGTGGTAAATAAAGGCACTTACCATTTTATCAAACAACCGCAAACACGGTCCAAACTTTCCCCATTCAACTCCTCTGCAATCGCATGAGCTGGTCCAGACGTTTGAAATTCTTCTGCACATTCGTTTAATTGAGTTGGTGCAGGATGTTCATCAACATCCTGCGGCTTCCACCAGCGAACAAGTTTGCAGCTGTCGGAACATCGAGACGAGCCTGTTTAGACGTGTAGCCTGTCCACTCCCCCTACACGTGAAAAGAAAATGATGCAAGCATGGCAGGACATAAGTGTGGATTTCCCTCTCTTACTTGCAAAACTGGCTACTTGGGACTTGCCCTAGTTTCAGTTCGGTTGAGGAACACGCCAGTTTTCAAACGTGCTCAGCATACAGCAATTGATCATTTCATAAGTAAGATCTATCAGGCCAACCTGATTTTTAATTGCTGGTAAATAAATTCAGAAGAAACTATTCAATAGACACGTAAGGGATAATGGACAAGATTTTTCGAAGTTGTAAATTAAACATTATTGGTCTACATTTTACAAGAAAATACTATTTCAGTCTTCAAAATTTAAAGTTTAATTCAATGTGTTTCTTGGCATTTCTTGGTAATTATTTGTGTGAAAATTTTCATGTCATATCATCCTAATCCTACATCTTTTTTTTTTGTTTTTTTGTCAGTGTAGGAAATATCAAACAGCTGTATTCCCTGGGTGACCAATGAAGGGTTAATTCAACCCACAATGAAAAATACTATCATAATTTACTTTTCAAACCCATAAGACTTTAATTAATCTTCGAAACACAACTGAATATATTTTTATTAAACCTGAGATTTCTGTCCCTCCACACAAACCATGATTCAAAAAGTCCATAAAGACATTGTAAAAGTAAAAAAGGTAAAAAAAAAATTTTTTTTTCATTGTCTGCAAGAACCATGGTTGTTCTCATGTCAACAAATATCTCCGTTTGAGTTTCAAAGATGAATGAAAGTCGTATGGGTTTGGAATGACAGGAGGAAACTGATGGCAGCATTTTTATCTTTTTGGGGTGAACTATCCCATTAAGCATTCTAGACAACTAATATCTATTCCAAACGTGACTGTTTTAAATGTGTCACTAGTACAAAACATTTGCCAATATCTTTGCTACTAACCATCCTAATAGTGACAATTATTTTTATTGTTAACAAATTGCACATTTTGTCATTAAATTCTATAAAGATCTGAGGTTTGTAACTATTTAAACAACTATAGTATCATTTTCAGATTTTCTATCCTGAACCGAATAAACAATAGGGTCAACCTTATACTTTTCCCCATGGAATTGCAATTTGTTTCCAGTAACAGTTGAATAGTTGCATGTCAAAACTGGGATAATGACTAGTATGAAAGGAATAAAAAATATTACGAATAAGTACTAGTTTGAATGAATTGATATAAGTGGAATAAGTATTCATATATAGTGAATAAAATTCTAGTATGTAACGATAGGTGCAACGTCTCTCGTCATGTTTGTGAATATGCAGTAAATTGGTCTAAGTGTTGATTTTTGGATGAAAAGAAAGAAAATAAATAAAAAGTCAACAGTAAACCAATTTCCATACATAACACATTTATTAGATATTTACAAAATAGTTTATTGACAAATGAAGTTAGCTTTTCACCTGATAACTCAAAACCAATATAAAAAATTCTTAGCGACATTTTAGAGCCAGTAATATGATTTCTTCATTCCCTAGGAGACATAAGTAAATCAAGGATTCATCTATGATCAACATCAAATGTTATATCATAAGAAATACACTTACAATTTGTGTAGTGATATTGTTTGAGATTCATATGATTGCTTGAACACTGAATAAACTTAAGTTAAAAGAATTTTCAGTATGAAATTAAACATACTCACTCAGATCACATACATTAGACAAGTTTGTCAGGAGGTTGAGCTCATTAATGAGGGGTATTAGGAAGGAAAATTAACATCTAATTATCTAAAATTAGACGAGAGACGATTTATAAAGAAGCAATTTAGCTCTAGAAAAAGCTTATAATTCAGCTGTAATGGCTCTTCAGCATTTATCATTTAGAACATGCTTTTTGAAAACTGGGCATCAAACATGTACAGTTTGGGACAGACATATACATTTATGAAAGGAGACAATTTAACATATACAGCGCAATTAAATTAACATGCACTGAAATAAGATCCAAGCGTTATGCTGGTTTACAAGAACAAAACCTGACAAAGGCAATTTGACTACATTAGATGGAGCGATCCATCCAAATGCCTGAAGGTGATGATACACGGGGCAACTTTTTTGAGCAATGTTGCTTGGGCACTTTCCCATTGAGAATGGGATACCTGGTTGCCCGTTGATGGTAACATTGACCAGCAACATTGCTCAAAATGTTGCCCCGTATATCATCACCTTAAGGAAATGACACACCTGTTCAGAAATTGCTTACATGCTTTGCATTGGCTCAGTAAAAACACAATGTACCGACACATGCATTCAGTCTGCTGTGGAATACAGGTAAAGCAATACCCCCCAAAAAGAAAAAGAAAACACCCCAAATATACTGTTTACTGTATACAGTGACATCTGGATTTAGCATTAGCAACAATACAGAGGATACAGAGATAAAGCCTTGTCTCTATCAGTAAAAGGCACCCCGTAACACTTGGAAGTTACTTTTGTGGCTCAGAGAGATGTTGGGATGCCATTGTGCATAATCCAGAGTGACATCCAAAGACAAAATGGCACCCCACTGGCATAAGGCAATTCTAAGGACTGAGCAGAAGAAGTAAAGCATCAATCAACAGACAGAAGGAAAAGAAGTAGAGGCAGTGTGCTTAATGTGCTGTTACAGATGTTACCAGCAGCTAAAAGACACATTAATGTCAGCACAGGTCTGTTGTTGAGTTACAGTACCTGATGAACATGTAGTAGGTTCAGTACACTCACAATAGGTGATTATTTTTGACATAAAAGACAGAATCGTCTAATAGAAATTGCATCATGATATTATTCCTCTTATTACTTCCTTTTAGGAGTTTTGGTCTTGCTTGCATTCACGATGTTCAGCAAAAAAAATTAAATAAAAAAAACAAGCTTGAAACCGGTTTATTTTCTCAGTGCTGTTAAAAATAAAGTATTGAATGCCTTTTTAGTTCATATTTACAGTGTCAAGGCAAGATGAGAAATTTAAATTGGCAGAAATGTATCTGGTGTCATGCTGTGGCTCAAACGGAGGGAAAAGCGATACATTTTCTCTTAGAAAGGCGTATGTTTCTGATTTACATATTTAGACAGATTATAGTGACTGGAATAACTTTTTTGGAATTTCTGATTCCAGCTTTAGGAGCACATTTTAACATACATCTGGTTCTGAACAACAACCTGGAGCGTGCACAGTCAGACCCAGCTGTCCAGCATTAATACAGAGAGTTAAAAGGTGTTTAGGCATATAGTTAGAGATTCTCATGTTGATACATGAGGGGGGAAAAAAGGCAAAATATGTTCAGTAATAGATGATGTTTAAGATGAAAATGTTGAAAGGATAAAGGCATCTGCGAGGAGGTTTGACAGTAAATATATGTCTTGGTTAGCAGTCTCAAATGAAATTTAAGACATCACTGCATAATGGCATGAATATGACAAGAGATGGTTTGTGCAAATGTTAAATTAAATAAAAACAAAACAACAAAACATTACACACTACAGTGTATATACACAGGGTAAACTGTTAACACATTCAGATCAGAGAAATCTCAGCATTTGGGACTGCAAAACCGAATAAAAATCATTATCACCGTAAGAAAGGACTTACTAAACTATATGTAGTGAACTATGAGAATTCGCCATCTGATGAAGATACTGTTTTCCAGTCAATGTAGACAATTTGGTCCCAACACAATCAGTGTCAGCTCAGGTGCATATGTTCACTGTTCATTACACAGGACAGTTAAAAGGAGGTAAAGATATCTTAGAAACTACAACTACTCATACCAGCAATCCACTAATCATCCACTAATCAGGCCCAGTGTAGATAAAACAGGTCTACCTGACAACAGTTTGCTAATTCTGTAAAAGTGTTCAAATAAAAGATTGATCTAATTGAAAAGTACTGAAATTCAAATGGTATTTGATGTATTGTTATAAAAAAATGAATGAATTTGGACTCGCGCTTTAGTGTCCAAGACGACTTTACGATTAATAATACAACTTAGCATTTTTAACGTAATACAGATATTATAAATGCTTGTATGTGACTGGAATTGGGAGAGAAAAGTCCCGCGTAAATGGACTGTTCTTACAGACCGCTTATCTATGCGTAAATATAAATCTGATTTGTGGTTCAAAGCATGATTTGTTCAGAGAGGATTGGGGAAGGTTGTTTTTATACAGCAGGCTGTTCCACTAATACACATAATACTCACCTCCAAATAGGCCTGTCGCAATAATCAATATATCGACTTATCGCGCAATATATGTACATGACCTCAATAATTCTGGCGACGCAATATATCGCCCATTATATTTACTTAAAAATTTATGTCACCATGTTTTGTACATTCCACTTGCACCTGTGTCTTTTGCAGCTTCTCGTACATAACGTAGTCATGAGGTGCTTGTTCAAATTTAAAAAATGCTTCTACAAACAAAGTTTCATCTGCAGATATGGCCTTGTTTAGGGATCTGTGCCTTTGTGCATATCTTGCATTATTATGCTGTTACATTATAATTATATATTCAGTGGCATAAAATGGTCTTTAAAATGACAATAATATCGCTTATCGCAATTATCTCTGGGGCAATATATCGCACAACAAAAAGTTGTTATCGTGACAGGCCTACCTCCAAACCCTTTTCATATGTTACGACTGTTTTCATAAAGCTCACAAACAGGGAGTAGAGGGAGTATACAAACATTAGTATCCTAAATCATCTTCCACTCAAATCATCAATACACGGCAAAGCTGTGCTGGGTTTATGGCTACGGTGACTAGAAACAGTTGGCATGAGGTGAAGCTCATCACACACTGAAAATGGTGCACTGTTGCATCACAACCTCTTGAACAGTTGCTCCTGTCACGAGCATAGAAGGGCCAACATGTAGATAATTTGAAGAGAAATGGAAACTTGTCACATTATTAAATGGCTTTTCCTTATTAGGGGATGTGGCTTTCCTGAAATCTTACAGCAGCTTCTGGTTTGAAGGTTGGGTTTTCCTCAGTGTCTCAGGAGTCTTCAGTCATCTTCAGTAGCTCTAGGAAGGCACCAACAGCTCCAAAATAACCCTGCAGTAAAGAAGCAGAGCATTTCATTATATTTCCATACATGCTTCATATGATATGATGGCATTTGTTGAGGCCTAATGAGCAATCAGTGGCTGATATTTTGCATACACACTACTGTGTATTTATATAGAAAACAGTCATTTTAAACTGTAATAATATTTCACAATATTACTGTTTTTACTGTATTTTTAATCAAATAAATCAGCCTCGGTGAGCATAAAGAAACTTTAAAACATTAAAATAAAATCTTACTGACCCCAATCCTTTGAATGAATATAAAATATCTTATGAGATGTACACAAGCTGAACTTTTTAATTTGAAATCATTTTAATTTGCATAATACTTTCTTATTAATATTTTCTGATTAATAAGTTCACAATATTTGGCAACAGAAATCAACATTGTCCACTGACGGGTCTGTGGTACACTTTGGAACTGACACAAGGGAGAGCTAAAGTTCCTGTTAATCTGCAAAGTGGTCATACATCCACTGATCATAACAGTAAACAGCACTAGCACCTTGTTTACTTTTAACAATATTTAAACATTTCTCATTTATTGTACACCTATAAATAACAAATTTAGAGCAGGAGGCCTATTCATCTGTTGTATATATATATTTTTTTTTATAAATCATCATGCAACAGGTGCTCATTTTCCTCTTACTCCCTAATATTTACATCCTCACATTCATCTTCAGAAACACCTCGTACAATTACACACCAGTTTTTTTTCTGGTCCCATCAATATTTTTGTATAAAAGCCACAAAACTAAAACTTTGATTTCATTGGTTGTTTAAAAGCACCCAAGTGTAATTATTTTTTTATTTTTATATTTCCACCATTTATAAAAATGTGTATTAAAGCATTAATGATATGGGTGTGTATTAAAAGCCATATACTTGTTTGGCTGATATATTTATTGACTACTATAAAGAAGGTTATGGTATAAGTCCAAGATGGACAAACATAATTAAAGTTAGTTTAAAGTTAGTAAAGTTAGTTTGGGTAAATTAGTTCACCCAAAAATAAAAATTCTGTCATTAATTACTCACCCTCATGTCGTTCCAAAGCCGTAAGACCTCCGTTCATCTTCGGAACACAAATTAAGGGTGGCTAGGATGACGCGGAGGAAACGAATTGTTGAATAAAGTCGTTATTTTCTTTTCTTTTGCGCACAAAAAGTATTCTTGTAGCTTTGTAATATTACAGTTGAACCCCTGATGTCACATGGATTATTTTACCGATCTCCTTGCTACGTTTCTGGACCTTGATCGTGGTAATACCCTTGCTGTCTATGCAGGGTCAGAGAATCAAAAATATCTTAATTTGTGTTCTGAAGATGAATGAAGTTCTTATGGGTTTGGAACAACATGAGGGTGAGTAATTAATGACAGACCCTGATGTCACATGGATTATTTTACCGATCTCCTTGCTACGTTTCTGGACTTTGATCATGGTAGTACCCTTGCTGTCTATGGGAGGGTCAGAGAGCTGTCAGAATGCATCAAAAATATCTTAATTTGTGTTCAGAAGATGAACGGTGGTCTTACGGGTTTGGAACGACATGAGGGTAAGTAATTAATGACAGAATTTTCATTTTTTTTGGTGAATTATCCCTTTAATGCAACTGATTCTAGAATTGAAGGGAATTAAAAGTGATAAAAAAAGGAAAAAGACTTACTTCATGTTCTAAGAAAAGGGCTTTCAGTTGTCCGTTAGACCAGAAGTCCATGGCATAGGCTAGCAGCTTAGTTGATACGGTGTTGATCCGAAGGAAATTCCCAACAAAAACCACTCTATCGATATTCTGAAGAAAATTAAACAAAAAAACAGACGGTCAGAATAAACAGTAATATTGCTCTATTTTTATTATGGAGAAGAGAAAAGAGGAAATATCTACATTCCACTTGTTCTTGAATTTTACACCAGAGTATTTTAGGAAAATATATATTTTTTTATCCATCTTGTGGCTGTTCAGTGTGCTGTGATAGCCCTGTACAATGCTGCTTGATCTCCATGCCACAAGACAACACTGTAAAGAAGCTCAGAGCACACAGAGTTCATGGTCATCTTTAGCACCACGGACTTATTCTTTTTATATAGATTATTTCACAGAGTAATGGCCACTTAATTTAACGTAGGGCTGGACAATAATTCAATATCAATATGTATCGCGATATAATTTTTTTCAATAACGGTGATATGATTTTTAAACACATTTCCGATATTTCGATATACATTACCAGTTTCCCATACATTGATTTATTTGTGCCGTTTGACTTCGTTGAATAAACATGAGGGGAAAGAAATTATAGAAATTATACTTTTATTTAGCAAGGATGCTTAAAATTGATCAAAAGTGATGATAAAGGCATTTATAATGTTACAAAAGATTTCTATTTCAGATAAATAGTCTTCATATCGATATCGGAATTATATCGTATCGACCGAAATTAAGAAATATATCGTGATATCAATTTTGGCCATATCGTCCAGCCCTAATTTAACGTATGTATTCTGAACAAAAATCAATTAATGTGGCTGCAAAAACAGTTCTTAAAATAGATGAGCTTTTACATTAAGAGAAAATTTTTCAAACCTCGTTCACTGCACACATGCGGGCGATGGAACCAATGTTGTTTGTGATGGTGACAAGAGTGGCCCTGGCCAGGTCCTCTTTACTTATACTATCACGTTTCTCCTTGCTCATCATATGACCAAAACTAAGAAATTAAAGGGATAAAAAACCTGAAGATCTTCTTTAATCACAAACATGATCATTTTACATATGGATGATGGCAAATCTGTCTATACCTGGATGCAACGGCGGAACCCTGGAGACCGAAGCGCTCATAATCACCTCCATAAATGTCCTTCACTAGTTTGTCCACATTTGTGCTGTCCCCTTTAGCTGCCATCTCTAAAGCCTCCTCAAATGTCTCACAGCCAGTCAGCAAACAACACAGGCCTAGAAACGTGCCACCTCCTAAACTGAATCACAACCAATGAAGCAAATGAATGGCGGTGTATTTAAAAAATGTTGCGTTAATTTAGGTAGATTAGATATCTTGTTTCTACAACTTATTTAGCTATTTTCATTACAAAATAATATGAAACATAAAATTGCAAGTTGTTGTAGAATAGGAGACCACACGATGTGGATGGACATTGTGGCCACAAATCAAAAATTTCTTGTAGGCCACATTTAATTAAAAAAGGGAACGATTTAGTACAACATTGCCACGACTAAAAAAAATCATAATTTGTGGCAACAAATTCTTAATTCATGGCCACACGATATCTTGTTTTTTCCCCCCTGCATGTCATGTGCGGGACTGTCATCTGCTGTACTTTGGCAATGCTCTTCTGCGTGAATAAATCAGCAGGTCTGAACTATATCTATGGTTCTTTGATAACATATCTGATGTCTGGTCAGTAAGTAGCATATCTGCTGTTGTAGTAGTCAGATCTTATTTTCTTTACTTATGTAAGTGATGTATATAAGCAGGATGAAGGGCATAAACCTGAAATTAACCTGTGTGCTTAACTACAAGAAAAAACATGATGCCATAATTCACCTGGTGCCTGTGACTCGCTTGTAATCATCCTTGGAGTAGACAGCCAGGATGCTAACCCCCGAGCCAATGTTTACCAGCAACATAGGGAAGGGGTTCTCCAGGCTAAATGGCCTCTTGACACAGTTTTCAGGGTCGGAGGGATTTTGGAAAAAATAACACCCGGGATGGCCATTGAACCTGACTGAGTCAACATACAGCAGACCTTGAATAAGACAGTCCAGTTCATCCAGCTTCTGGAGCTCCAAACCAGCCACCTGCAGGAAGAAGTAAATACACATAAACACGTAAATCATAAACGCGACAGGCATAGCTAATGTTAGTCCTTCATTGTCCTGATAACAGTAATAGTATAAGTGGCAGTAAGATAACAAGACATTACAATATGTCAACAAAACACTAGTCTGCTACAAATCAACATAGATTTTACATTCAATTAAATCGAATAAATTCCATTATTATGTCACTATTCCTCTGTGGATCACACACCGTTCTGAAGTCGTCCTCAAACTTGTATGCGCCCCCACCCGTGGCGCACAGTGTGGTGTGTAGACTGGAGAAGTTCTTGTCTCTGCCCATTTGGATGAAGCGGTGCATGTCTTGCGTGGGGAACCGAATGAAGTGTAGGTTGCCTTTCCGGCCACACATGGTGAGGTTCTTCAACTCCAGGTGAACGTCACGGATACCCATGTTTCCATAGGCCACGTTGGAGGTCAGATAGCGGCGGATGCTCTTCAGGCTCTCCACTTCTTCTTGTTCTTCTTCAGCAGTTATGTCCTTGGGCTCAAAGTAAACCAGCTTTACCAGAGTGCCTCCGATATCCATCCCAAACCATGGAAAGGCTGGGGAAAAAATCTCAAGTTTTAGAAAGGGAAATTTTGCCATTCTTTCTTAACAAGTATAACCTGCATCTTTCTGTGTAGTATTGATGGGTGTGAAATAAATACGATAGGTGTGAAAAAATTCTATAATGTAAAATCTAATAAACAAATAATTAAAATATAATAATTAAGTGACTTACGTTTTTTGTGTGTGTGTGTGTGTGTGTGTTTTTAAGATTTTAGTGTAATAATAAGTATATTAATGAATACTGTCTGATTGCAAATAACTATGACTGCTTTGGTAGAGGGAAAAAAGGCCCATTTGTTGCCATGGTAACAGTGGTTTCAAAGAGATTGCCTGGTGATTCTGAGAAACATCCTGTCTTCAAAATAAAAGTCACACAACAGGTTCACATAATCTGTCTAGCATACAATATAATCTCTTGGTAAAAAAAAAACATTCAGACCTTACTGACACAACCTCAGTATTTTCTACAGCAGCCTTAGTGAATCAGTAAAATATCTTTGCAGCATTTGTGAGAAAGCAGTTTCTTATGTCATTGATTAGTTAAGGGAGTCTGAGTTTAGATCAGTGATGATAATGTTGCTGGCAGATATACATGTAGGTGAAAGGTGTGTGTACTCCTTGTCTCAAAGAGCAAAGTACTGCAAAGCCACCAAGAACACAGTGACTTTACAGAAGTTAATGGACAAAAAGTGAAGTCACAGCAGTTTACAGCCAACAACGCAACGTATTAAAGCAATGCAAGAAATATTTAAGATAGATTTATATTCACATTTAAAAACAATATTTAAAATCAATTATGAATTACTATATATGCTTGATTGGATTCTGGAGTGTGCAACTGCTGTTATTTTAACTAGTTCTTGATTGGTTTGACAGTAGACTGTAAAAAGATGCTGACTAATTAATACCATCAAAACGGAATGTCTTTGATTTTTATGTAATGTACTGCTTTTATTGATTAAACAATATTACGCAGGACCTTACCTGGCTTCTTGACAATTAGTTTCATACTTTGCAGGTGAGACAGACAGGATTATGAAGACAGCAATATGAAGTACGCAGCAATATACTCAGTATATGTATATATCATTCAAATGCTGCTGGCAGAAGAATAAACGTCTAATGTCACTTGGCCAGGTGTGCTATGGCCTTTTTATGTTAATTACACCAGTACTGTAAAGTCTGCCAGTTCGATTTCCCCACCCCTTTGTGTGATCCTTCCCTCTCATTGGATGAAATCGCATGTCCTTCATATCTGTCGTGTTTTGGTCACACCCTCACATTCTGATCTGGCCAATGAAATCCGCTCAACGAACATCACATTGATTTCACAACACTAAATAATAACCCGGTCTTTCAAAACAATTAAACCTCTTAATACAGGCAAATTTGAAAGTTCAAGCATTTTCTCTTTTAAATAGGCATTTTATTTATTTTTGTTTTAATTGCGAAGAATACTTAGATAAAACACAAAAAGAAAACCAAAAATTGGTTCACTTCCGGGACTTCAGGACACTTAAAATCTCATCTTTCACGTTCTTGGTACAAATATGAATAAGAACGAAATGCGGGTGGGGAAAAAAATAAATAAAAAATCTGATGCTTCGCTACAAACACTGACCAAACAGTTAGTAAATAAAACGGAAATTGTAACGTACAGTGGGATAACCTTTATTTATAACGACGAACGAAAAACGAGTGTGTAAAATAATGTCTGACGAGATTTTGAGCGTACAAAAGAAAAATAAACAAATAAAAACGTTTAAAAAAAGTTTAAAGCTCTGGAATCGTTTTTTAGCTGCTTAAAGTTTGGATCTTTTAAAACGAAACATACCTCAAAAATAGCTATTTGCTGTATGTTGTGCTAATTGTCATTGTTCAATTTAAGGTACAATTTAATACATTAATTACTTACGCGGTCTGTTCTTCTTTCCCGAATCCACGCGTCTTCGGAGTCTGCAGCGCTTCGCGGGCGAACCATTGGTGTGTACATCCTGATGAAGATGGTGGAAATTTTCAATACCATTATGGCCACCGCTACTGTCACTAGCACCCAGACCACCTCCGTTAGATGAAATACACTCCCCGTCATCGGACTGTAGGGTGTGAAATCCGTTTACTAAACCGTTCGTGTAGTGCGTCGCTCCGTTTTGATCGGATGTTTCAGCATTTTCCATGATTTTACGCAGCAAATATGAACGTTTGGGAGACAGACAGATGCGTAACGACTCGACGTTTCGAAGGCGCTTCAAAATTTACAATTGTTTTTTCAGAGTTCTACATTATTGCTGATGTGTTGTAAAGAGATGAAGACAAAAGATAGGTCTTCAACATCTTATCTGAGGTCACTGTCGGTCATTTCTTCTTTACACGCTTGTATGGCTTCCGAGTCAAACAGCCGGTATATGCGACGTCATTAAGGAAAATGCTCACTCCCTCTTGTTGAAACGTCATGTTTCAGAGCCGACTAGCCTACTCACTGTTACTCCTTCCTACAGGTAGGCTTTCACGTTATATGAATAGGTTTTTTAAAGTCATTTTTAAAACACCTGGTAGGCTAAGTAAGTCTTGTTCAAATGCCTATAGACGGAATGTTGTCTCATTTCCACCACTCACTTGGACTTTGGCATAATAGACCTGTTCATAGGGAATTAATGAATACACTATGTCTGTGTGGTCAAACCAGTTATTTAATAAAACTGTATTAATATAACGTAATACGTTGGTAAGAGGAAACACCAAACATGCAACACTGGCAGACAATGTACATTATTCTAATAAATATGTGAAGAGATGTTTGCCCTGTTCAGTTTTTGAATTGATTTCGTATTCAGAGAAAGATTCTTTATCTTATGCATCAATTATGATGCCTTTTATTTCTTATGTGTGGGAGGAAATTTTAAGTACAACAGCAGGTTTACATGGACGTCAGTGCTATTGGCTCACAACATAAGTTTACTAACTATTTATTATTCTCCACAATTTCAATATAAGAGAAAAAAAAAGTTTATGAGCAATAGAAACATGCAAACAATTATGTGTCATTTCAGCTGGATTCTACCTATACCTACATGCAGTTCACATTGAAAAAAAGGGAATTATGAAAACCTAAAAATCCCTGATGCATTTAGATTTTCTCAACTGTCTCAAAGTAACACTACTTTATGTCAATTTGAATTTGTTCATTCACTAAATGCAAAATGCCTCATTCAGCTAATAAATTCAAAGAAATGCATATTTCTTGTTCAACAAATTAGTTGTTCTGCAAATTAACACAATACATATCACCCTATAAACTTACAGCAAATAGATTTATGATATAGCAATAACATTACTATGAAAAGGCACCTTAACACCTTACGATGGTGACAATAAACAAATGTAAAAAGATGAGCTCTTAAAATCACAACACAATAAAATCACAACACTATAATGACAAAGCAACAACAACATGTTTTAATCAGTAAACAGTGAAACAATGATCGTATAGTAACCACATAAGTTATTCAAGCTGCAATGCATGCTGGGACCTTAATATTTTTTAAATTGAAATTCCTTGTTCAAACTATTCTGTTGGTCTAACATGGGTTTTTATGTAGTTTCAAGTAATTCACATTTCTTAGTATTTAGTACTTATATTCAGTGCAGATGTAGATGCATAGCTAGTAGACCTGGTCCTCTAAATGAAATCTTGGGTTGCTAATTCCGGTGTACTACTACTTCTACTCAGATACTAAAATATACATACTGAGGGTGCAGAGATCTGAGAAAAGATATAGAGATATAAAGTGACAATTGATATTTATATGCATTTTATCTAAGTAGTCTGCTGTACTATTATATATATCTCACTGAAATTACAAGTTATCAGAACTTCATCTTATATTTTGGCCATATAGATATGAGCATCTACACCAAACTGCATATTTTTGCTCAGTTTGGGCCTCTAAATAAAATGTAGGTGTTTTTTCATCCTTGAGTATTCTCCTATATCATACTATATGAGACTGGTGTATCAAATATGATAATCAGCAACAACAACAACAACAACAACAACAAAGATTTGCTTTTATATATTGCCTAAAGGTTCAATAAACAGTTCCATAAAAAAATAAAAAAAACTATTTTATTTCATATGTCAGGCTTTAGAGGTTTATCAAGTAAAGCCTGATTATTGTTTCAACACTGTTATAGTCTGACTTCACAATTGGCCCCTAGGTTTATACTAAAAGAAACAGGTGAACATTTACATACAAAATGAATTTACATTGTTTTATTACTTAAAATCTGACAGTCATCATAATTTTTTTTTTTTTTTTCATTTTAGACATATTAAATAAAAAAAAGCAAAATATAAATTTTTCAAATTTTGCACATGCAACAGCATGAAAAGTAAACCTTTAACATTTTGAGTGGCATTGCCTCAAGAGGGCGCTATGAGCATGATAGAAGTTAATCTTCAGAGGCCCTGTCAACCACAACATTAAAAAAACCTGTCTAATATCATGTAGGTCCCCCTTGTGCTGACAAAACAGCTCTGATGTGTCAAGGCATGGACACCACGAGACCTCTGAACGTATCCTGTGGTATCTGGCACCAAGACGTTATCACCAGTTCCTTTAAGTTCTACAAGTTGTGAGGTGGGGTCTCTATGGATTGGATTTGTCTAGCACATCCCATAGATGCTCAATTGGATTGAGATCTGGGGAGTTTGGAGGCCCAGGCACAGTGAACTCTTCACTTTCATGTTCCTCAAAACATTCCTGAACATTTTTTGCAGTGTGGCAGGGTGCATTATCCTGCTGAAAGAGGCCAGTACCATCAGGGACCACCATTAACATGAAGGGGGCCACGTACACACTGCAAGTTTCAGGAGTGACAACCACATTTAAATGTGGGAGTGAGTCCCGTAAATTATCGTTCCATGTGTGTACGGAACACGACTCACTCCCGAAACTGCCATGAATGGCAGCGTGGTAACCATAGCAACGTTGTGGCGTCTCAGAGAGAATGGAGGCCCGCAGATTAGGTAGTTTTGTGTTATAGCTACTGTTGAGAAAACAAACATTAGAGTGCAAAGTTCAGAGTTATGTGCCCTCTAGAAGCTTGCGTTCTGCAAGTGAACGGCGTATTATTGTGCCATCTCAAAGAGGCACAAAATCACTTTCACTGACTTTTTCATTAACTGTTCCCTCCTGATGGAATGACCTGCCCAACTCAATCTGAGCAGCTGAGTCCTTAGCCATCGTAATAATCGGTATCGGCATCGGCCTTGAAAAACACATATCGGTCGACCCCTAGTGGCAACAGTGTAAAAGTAGCCCGGAGTCAGACGCACCCTCCAGCATTGACATCCACACGTCACGCGTGTATGATCGCCGGCGCGATTTGGAATCACAAGCTTGGCTGCGTTTGAGTCTTCAAGGCATTTTGAGGACACAACATCGTCAAGTAAGTAAATTTAACGAATGTTACAGTATCCACTGTAGTTGTCCGCTAGTAAAAACAGTTTTATCAGTCATTATCAGTGTACGAACCAGCGCAAACAGATAGTTACCTCACAAAGTTAGCTTCAGTCTCCTTGCATACGTTGAGCATACCAGCTTATTTCTGGTTCAAACACATATGGCTTAATTAAACCAATATTTCCACTTGCCATTGCCATTGTATCGCGTTTACTACAGTTCAGGAGGCGCTGGCTCATGGCTGGCTGCTGTGTGAGTGGAGGCGGGGCTAATTTGCTAATTGCTAATTGTATTCATAGTCCACGTATAGTAAATGAGGCAAGGGTGTAGAGTTGCATTCAAGCTATTTTAAGGCATGAGAAAATTATTTTCACAAGAAAAAAAATTTAAATATATAATTTTTATGATCAAAGATGAGTTTTAAAGGATAGAATTTTTGACTACAGGGGGACTTTAACAATCACACACAAAAGATACATTTACATTTTATTCACAATCATTAATTCATTTACAGTTTCAGAAGCATAGGCATGTTTTCTTTTGAGAAAAAAAATAATATCCATTAAAAAAAAAAATTGCACTCATGTCTTGCGTACAAAACAATAACTTCGTCCATTAGGATTATGTACTGTCTGTTTTTAACTGACAGAATTTTTAACGTTTTCCACGTTTATATTCAAAAAACGAAGTGGAAGCCCGATTCTGTTAAAAACAGAGCCTGATAGGGAAAAAGCATTGGAGCAGAACAAGTAATTGGCCACGTACACACTGCAAGGAGTGACAACCACATTTAAATGCGGGAGTGACCCCCGTAAATTATCGTTCCATGTGTGTACGGAACACGACTCACTCCCGAAACTGCCATGAATGGCAGCGTGGTAACCATAGCAACGTTGTGGCGTCTCAGAGAGAATGGAGGCCCGCAGATTAGGTAGTTTTGTGTTATAGCTACTGTTGAGAAAACAAACATTAGAGTGCAAAGTTCAGAGTTATGTGCCCTCTAGAAGCTTGCGTTCTGCAAGTGAACGGCGTATTATTGTGCCATCTCAAAGAGGCACAAAATCACTTTCACTGACTTTTTCATTAACTGTT